ATGCCACATAAATGATCTAAATTTAGTAAAAATTAATCGCATTTTATGCGCATATTATGTGATCGCATCTGTCCGGTGTCTCTACTTCAGGCAGATCCCAACTTCAGTCACGACATGCACATTATGTTCTTGGTGCATCAAGGCTGAAGAACCACAAGATTTTCTGGGGTTTATAAATTAGGAAATTATTTTCAACGTGTTACTGCTACGTAGCTAGTTTAAACATAACGATACTGTACTTTTCAAATAAATTTCAGAAAAAATTTATCCGACATTATCTGACAAATGGAATACATTAAAAAATACATTCACCCTAATAAAATACCAGACGATAAATCTATTAAAGTAGTAATTCACGAAGATGCCAATAAAACACCAAACAATTTTGGAAGAATATCACCAAGCATGAAACTGTCAGAAGTGCGCAAATTTCTTGAAAATCTTGAAGACTTCTACATGGGAGACAATATGACATTTCTTGAAAATGATGTTGAAACAAAAATTCATATATCTACAGAAGAAAGTCGTAATGTCTCGGATATTCTTGTTGATGAACAATGTATACATATCCTTAAAAACCCAGAACAACCAAGTTTATCTCAATTTGTTAATAAACACCATCTTCTTAATGGCTGTTACTTTACGCCTGATAACATGATTAAACGCGCTCGAAAAAAAGCATTCAAGTTTAAAATGAAATGGTCGCTGACATAGATACAAGCAATATAGAATTGGATGATGATAATATGCAATACGATGAGGAAATTGAACGTAATTTTGTAAAAAAATCGTGCTTTAAAAATCGAAGCAACTGTTCCATTACCATTGCCGCTCCCACCGTTAAAGACCGGTTTTATTTTTGGAAGCTCTAGCGAAAAAAAAAACAGCATACTAAAGAATCCTATAAATATAGATTTTTAAAATCTGTGAAATGTAGTATTAGCATTTCAAACGATGATATCGAACCGACGAACGACTTAATAGATGCTATTGAAAAAGCCTTGAATCAGTCAACTGACGAGGGAAAACTGAATGCCATTGAAGAATTGTGGAAAGATTTTGGATTTTTTTGTAAGTAAAGTCCTGGAAACTATGATATAAACGAATAAACTTATTAAATTTACTTTTCAGTTCCGAAATGTATAGAATTCGGTGGAAGAATCCAGCAAAAAATTAGCTTTAATAATGAAACAGTTACTGATTCCAAAAAAAAAAAATTTAGCGTAGGCTTGCAAGATTCTAACCTATCTATTGATTCTGAAAAAACTTCATCGAAATTTATGGATAAAAATCGTAGTAGCCGTAGAGTTTTTGGCGGCGATGTTTCAATCGACCCGGATTTCAATGACAGTGAAAGTCAACGAAAGTGGCTTGAAATGCTGCGTTGCAGTGACAAATGGCAACCTATTAGTTATTCGGAAGTTGTATGGATCTGCGAGCTATTAGATAATGAATTACAAGCTCGATTGCTTGAAATTTTTGGACAGGAAGTACTTCGTAATGGTACAGATGAAGTAGAATTCGACAATGGAGATATCAAGAAACCAAAAAGAATTGAAATTGAGAACATTCATATGGCTAATAATCAAATATATGCAACAATTTATAATACTAAATGCATCCATGAAGTTTTTTCTGTCCACGTAGTATATTATGGTGAAGCAAATCCTACTTTAGTGATCCAATGTATTAAGACAGAAGAGAAAAAAGATTTCAAACGTATTATAAAAGTTGCCTGGATGATTGTTGGATTTCGCACCGATTTTAATTTTAAACCTCCTCTAAAGCTTAAATTTAACAGTTGCACAATAAAATCTGACTGCATTGAAAAAATTCAAGATCTTTCCAAGGTGTTTAAATTTCCTAAAAATAAGATGTATTGTCTTCTTGGAACTTGTGCATTCAGATATCAAGATGGTGACGAGGATGTGGAGTCTACAATTATTGTTGGTCATCACTTTTGCAAGAATGTGCAAAGTTGGAAATCGTGTTTTTATGCATTCGACTTGGTAAGTTATCAATTTTATATAAGTCTCAAACTTGAAGCTAATCAGTATGTTTTTATCAAGATTGAAGGAAAAGAAGTAGTCAAGCCATTAGAAATACATTGTATTCTTAGTACTGATCGAAAATATTTAGAAATGACATGGAATAAAATGGATAAGTATCCGATCTTTAAAGGCCAAAAATGGGATAGTTATTCAATTAAAGAAATTAAAGAAGATAGAGATAAACTTTTCTTTAGTCTTTTATGTGAGGAGAAGGATTGTTCACCCATATTTGCAAATGTCAATCCCAAATATCCTACATTACATTTATTTGGTGTAGAGCCTGAAAAATCCTCTAGAAAACAAAATATTCAAAGCTATGTGTCATATTTGATAGCATCCTAAATAATCGTTATAATGTTAAAGACTTATTTTCTGAATTAAATCCTGATAGATTAATTTACAGTATTTCAATATTCACAATTTTTATTTTGTGTAAGCGAATTTAATTAATAGTCCAAAAGAGAAAATTGTCAAAATTTAGAAAATTGATTATAATCGATCGCAAATGAATACACCCAGATCCATCCCTAGGACAGAGCAAAGATTGGAATTAATGAGTTTCGAGCATCGTTTGGTCTCAAACTCTAGATTTCAAACGTAGGTGAAAAATTTTGACCAAATCTCCGAATGTTCATTGAGTTTTAAAATATATTAATTCTTAAATCTGTCAATTATTAAATTATTTTATATACAATTTACATGAACTTGTAATTTGTTGATTATATATTACATTTTGGAAATATCATTATGTCAAATAATCTTAGATTTTCGTACTTATAACACTTCCTGCATTCGAAAATAAGCATACTTGCTGCAGGAATTGTAAGAAATTTTCGTGCTACTTCATTTGAAATTGGAAAATGCCATTTTTGTATTGGGTTTTTTTGCCATCTTTATTAGTTATTATAATCGAATCAAAGTACTACCTGCCAACCATGTAATTCTAATTTTTGTTTTCGCAAGCCGAAATATTAATGCAATTAGATTCGTTCTCGTTATTAAAAGAAAACTCTACGAGAACATTAACAGAAAATTCAGAATCTTTATTCAATATTAAGTTCCAAGTTTTTAATTAAACAATTTATCATTATCAAACACATACTGTAAACCGCTACATACCGGGTGGGTGAAAAGTCTCTAAACAGGACCCTAAACGGGACCTTTTTCTATCTCCGCTGATATTTAATTCGATTTATTTTTATACCAGATGGGGAAAAGTCTCTAAACAATCCCTTTTTTACTATCTCCGCTAAGATTTATACATACAATTACGAAAATATTGCAATGATTACTAGTTATAAATGTCAGAATGATGTTCTTAGTGATTAAAAAAAACAAGGTCGGTCCTGTTTAAAGACTTTTCACCCACCCGGTATAAGACCTAGGTTTCTTCATTCCCCAATTTTAAAATCTCTAATAGATCCTGGATAAAAGAAATTTTAAAGAGCATGCATATTTCTTATTTATAATAAGCAGTCTAGATGTTACAAAAAACTGCAACCCTATAAAAACTTTTTGAAAAACGTATCCCGACTTTCTCCAGACTATCGTTCTATTATCGTTCCGGAAAATGCTTATTTTTCGGAACAAAACATATATAAAATTTCTGGTCATTTCCTTAAAATCCCGATAAATTCCGGGTAAAAAAAATCAATTCCGGATAAAATTCTACTTCTAATTATTATGAAGCACAAAAGATTAAAAGCCGAATCTTATCCAGATATAATTTGTACCCAACATTACTGGGATTCTATGGAACAGACCAGGAATTTGTGTATGTTTTATTCCGAAAAATGAGCATTTTCCGGAACGATAATGGAACGATAATCTGATGAAAGGCGGGATATGTTTTTCGAAAATTTTTTAGAATAATTGACTATCAATTATAAATGCACTTATGAAATGTGTCAGGTTTGCGGCACAGTATGAAATAGTAAAAAATTCTTTAAAATTCATTGACGTTAGAGTTAGCATTTATATTAAAGTTAGATGTTAGCACATGAATAGTACTGTAAACCTTTTATTAGTGCATTTCTATGCAGATCTTCGAGAAATAAACAGCTCTTGAATGAATGTTTGCTTTGAATCTTCCTGGCTGCTTTACGTTACAAATCTGATTTATAATTTAGGAATTCTGCGTCACAAACCTGCCACACCAGACATGCATTACTGATGTTCATCGGTTCCACCCCTACTTATAACGTTATGCCTGCACTCTCAATTCAATTTCAAAGCTCGCTTTTTAAATCTTATACAATAATATATCCCTGCTGCGTAGTGCAACTACTTATTCCAGTATATCATTAAAGACATAAATTTTGGTTTGTAAAGGAATTATCTTTATTCAATTTGAATAAGAAATAGAGCTAAAGTTTTAAGCCATATGTATCTCCTTGGTTAGGCCGTTCGAAGTAAATCTTCGGTTAATATCATTCCCGGTTGACTGTCTCCTCCCGAAAATGAACAACCAATCAAATTTCTGGATAATTCCACCAATCACCTGATTTATATAGACAAATAAAATTGTCATATCTTTGAGCAGCTCAATAAAATATCTAATAGATTTGTTATTCAAAAATAAGTTGCTCATTTATTTGTTCGTTTCGTTTTCACCCTCCCCTTCCTCCGAAGAGGTTTAAAAGTGATATTAACCGAAAATTTAATTTCAAATGGCCTTAGCAACAGAAATACAAAGTAGTTTTAAAAAAAAATATATTTTGTAAAGCAATATACCGACGACAAAAGAAACATAAATACATATACTTGTGAACAAAATATATCGATATGACAAAACACAAAATTAAAATTGAATTGTTAACAAGCCTAAGTTGTACAAAATTTAAGCAATAAAGTATCATCTAAAAGTGGGAGCTAGATGGTTCATGTCTTCAATATAAGCATCGTTCATAAAATAAGCATCATTTATAAGGTATAAACGGGATAAGGGAATTTAAGCTTTTAACGATAATTGTTTTAATAAATTGGTTGCATTTGGGTTACCATATTGTGAAGCTGTTTCTAAATATATCGATCCTAGTTCCTTATCCGGCTGCATTTTAAGCTTTCCATTCACATAAATATTACCCAACTGAAATGCTGCTTTATGATTCTTATTATCACTTGCCAATTTTAAATAATGTAAAATTTCATTACGTTTATCTTCTTCGCTAATATTAGGATCATTTTTACTGAAATTATTAATCAATGAGACCGCGTACCGATATTGTGCATCAGCAACAGCTTCTTTATATTGTTCATTATGATCATTATTATTATCAGCAACTTCCTTGAAAAGTTGAATTGCACGCTCCTCATCTTTTTCGATAATATACCCATTAAATAGATAATATGCTTTCCAATATTGTGCTAATGGATTGCAAAGCTTAGAATTTTCTTCAAAACATTTCCATGCACTTTTACGATCCCCGCTACGATGAAATTCGATTCCTTTGTCAACAGACATTAACGAATGAATTGATTGATTATCCTCATAAAAAATTACATCGTCATCATCGAATGGTAACTTTGAATTTTCAGTGTCCTTTTTTATACCAAAATCTAGTACACCATCATCTAAAAGCTGTGGAGCGTGATGAGAAATAGGATTATCTGCGGCTAATTTTTCAAGTTCACTATGTAACTGCATAATGTCTATTCGATGGTTTGGTTGTGTCTGCCATGCTGTTTATCCGTTAAGTTAAAATTAATATATAGATTGAACAAAATAGAGGAGATAATTAACTTGCCGTTATCAATTATTTCATTAAACTTTCTCTGAATCTTTACATCATTAACGTTAGCATATTTTCCGGTTGCAAGTTTTTCTCGTTTACCGCTCAAAACATATTCTGGCACTTGCTTTGTTTCCAATGCTTTGTAAGGAATTTTTTCATAACAAAGTTCCCAAATGAGCATTCCGAAACTAATTGTGAAAAATAATAAGTAACTAAATAGAAAACAAAGAAATTTACAATGCCTATAAAATTACCTAAACATTTCACAATTAAACGTATATCCTTCTTTATCGGGATTTACTCGGCACTTTTTGATATATTCGTGAGACATCCAGCGAAACATTTCTAATTGTTTATGGAATGATAAACCTGTAGTATTTGCACTTGTTTCACGAGCATATTTGAAATTTCCAAGTTTTGGTTCCAAGTTTTTTGTCACCTATAATTTAATACATGATAATTCATTGATTTTTATTAATTCTTGTATTATTATTAACATTTTATTATACTTACAAAAACATTTTCGCATCTAATATCATGATGAAGAATTTTTACTCTGCGTAAAAATATAAGACCATTACAGATATCACGAATAATTTGTATTTTTCTATTCCAAATAATATCATATTTTTCATAAAGCTCTTTCAAATTTCCATATTCGGTCCATTCGAAGATCATATGTTCACTATTATCAAAATTTACAAGACCATAAAACTTGAGAATATTTGGTGATAAATTTGATTGACTTAATAGTCCAAGGATTGCTAATTCGGTTTGACTTTGACTAGAATCTTTGATAAGCTTGATAGGTTTACATGCAACTTCAGAACCAAAATAATACTTCCTAATAACAGAACCGCAACAACGAGGTCCCGCTGGGGGGTTTGTCAGATCATTTTCATCGATTTTTTGTAAATGGAGATTATCTGATCTAATATTCAATTTAAGCATTATTTTATCAAGTTTATTATCCATGCCAAGGATGAGTTTCTCGAGTTCCTAATTCAAAAGATGAAAAAAGAATCTTAAAGTACTAAAAATTGATATAATAAATTATTGTATTCCAAACATACCTTTAGATCCTGATCGACTTTTTGGGCATCTTTAGCTCTTTGATTTTCATCAGCAATTGCTATAGTAAAATGTAGTTCTTTCATACAAGTATCAAATTCTTCTGTCAATTTATCATGTTTGCCTAATTTTATTAGCTTCAAAAATTCTTTTAATACCCTCAATCTTTGACACTTTCTCAGTAAAATTTTTAATATCAGTTAAAACGTTTACAAATTTTTTGAGATAAGTAATATTCTTTTTCATAAAAATATTCCTCATTTTCTTCACTTCTAAACACCATTTTCTCTAGGGCAAATTCGGCATTTTTTACTCGTTCCATCATGATAGTACATAATTTTTTATTACACTCCACATTCTCATAAATTTTATAAATTTCTTCAACTAAAATTTTCACCGTACCAACTATAGGAACATATTGACTCACAATTTCAGCAGTAACTTTAGCTATTTCCATTGCGCTCTCAGACGAGAAGCTGGTCAAAAATTTATGATAATGCAAATTGGTGGAATTTAAAAGCCTGAATAATCTGATATTTACGAAATTGCGATCAGAATAATAATTATCGGATAAAAGAGTCCGCTTTAAATATAAAAAGAGATGCACAGTACGTACGCATAAGTAAACTGTATTGATAATCAAACCTATATTAGTGTCGCACAAAAGATGTGCGGCAGATCTCTGTGATTAGTGTTCCGCACGGTCCGGTTCGGTCCGGGTTTTATACAAAATCGGACTCGAACCGAAAAATCGATTCGAATCCATACCTAAACCCGGAACCGGGATATCAGAACCCGGAATCGAACCGGAACCTGATTAATTGTTCAGATAAAATTTAAATATATCACCTAATAAATAATCTTTTATAAGAATGAATTGAAATAAAATATGAGCAATGCCAAAAGAAGATGTGACTTCGGGCTTTTAATTTTATTATTTATTAAATTTAGCCCTTTAAAAAATCTGATAGTTATATGTATAATATGCAATATATCAACTAAATAAAATAATAATAAATTTAAAAATCCGATGTTTTATTTTCTCTTGGCATCTCTCTAGATACATTTATTTTATATTGATTTTTAATTTTAATTGATTAATGTATTAATACAGATCTATTTAAAGCAGCGTATTCTCCATTTATCGTAAGAAATGTCAGTTTATTTTATTCAAGAAAAGAATTAACCTTAAGATATTTCACCTTTATTTATTCTAATTCTTTGACATGCCTCCATATCTTTATTAGAATTACTTAATTCAGCTAATTTATAATAGCATACATATAAGTTCCTTATGCATATAATTTACCAGTAATATAAACTTAACTTATTAAAAGCATAATATCATATAATGAATTAATTTGTTCGTGATAATATTATACCACCGTAAAGAACTAATATTTATCAACTTAATATAAAAAACCTAGATCGTTCATTTGACTTAACTAAAAAAAGAATTATTATCAATATAAGATAATCATTTTCTTTTACTATAAAAAAAAACTGTATGAACCTAATCAATCTTGATATTCTCTCCACCATGAACGCAAACACATTGCTGATTGAACTGTTTTTTCACTTAATCGGTTTCTTTTATTAGTTATCATGTCACCACTGATACTAAAGATATGCTCACTTGGAACACTAGTTCCTGGAATTGAAAGGCAGTCTCGTGCAAATTTTGCGAGATTTGGATAGTTTATCTCATTTGCTTGCCACCATTCCAATATATTAACATTTAAGTCTACACGTGGCATTGAGAAATAGATATCTAACTCACTTTGCTGGTTTGTATGTACTTGCTTATAAATTCGCGCCATTATTGTAGGCTGTGTACTAGTATCATGTGATATATTTTGGTTGGAAAAAGATAAATATTCATTTTCATACTTATTTTTGATAAGATTTCTAATATCAGTAATAAGTTGTGATGGTAAATTAAGTGATTCAAAAAAATAAAATTTAAGTCGCGGATCTAATACCACTGATGCAAAATGTAATACATTTGTCTTATTGCAATAATTTATAAGTTTATTTTTTGCAGCTTCACATCCTTGAATGACCCAAAGTGGTGTATTTATTCTTTTACTTCTTCAAGAGTTTCAAACAACGTATAATATAGGGGAACGGTCATTGTTAGGGTTGGATATTCTGATCCTGATATAATTATTTTTGCATCCTTGAATGGTTGTAAAATCTTTCTATTTTCGTCCATTCTTCATCTGTAAGAATATATTGACGTAATTCTACTTCAGCAAGAGCTATTGAATCTAATGCAACTTTTAGTGCTATTGCTCGTTCACACATATCGTACATGGAATTCCATCTAGTAACCACGTCAAGAATTGGCTTTATTATATTCATACCATGTAATAAACAAGTGGTTTTTAACTTTTTACGTCGTAATCGTGAATCCCAAATACATTTAATTAAATTTCGCAACTTATTTAACTCAACTCCTACAATATTTAGCATACTATGAACTGCAAGATTTAGAATATGGCCGAAGCATCTTATAGATTGCTGATTATTATCGAATTGAAAACCTAACTGTGTCATAATATTGGAAAAATCTTTTACAAATTTAATATTAGAGGAGGCATTGTCATGTAAACTGCCATTAGTTTAGAGATTATTCCAAATGATTGAAGACAGTTTTTCACATTATTAGCGATTTCAGAACCTGTATGCGGCCCATCCATATTTATAAAATCCAAAAGAATATTTTTTAACTTCCACGATGCATCCAAATAATGAAGAGTAATTGCCATAAATAATTTGTCATTGCTATCCATCATCCAAATATCAGTCGTAATTGAAAATTTTTCAGGAATTGTTTGTAATCTTTCATAGAGCTTATTACGTTCTTCTTCAAAATCATTTACAATGTGTCTTTTTACTAAATCAGCTGATGGTGCAATTGCTTTAGGTTCTAATACAAGAATATTTCTTTAAGATCATCATCTTCTATAATATTGAATGGCCAATTATATTTAACAATCCAACGTTTAATTATATTTTTAAAATGTTCTAAATCAAAAGGTTCACGAGGATTATTATTAACTGATGATTGGTTTTTTAGCATATCAATAATAGTAATGCTTGGTTTTCCTCCATTTAATTCAAGCACCTTTCCTTTATACGTAGCAAGGTGTTTCCTAAGGCTTGATGTTGAGCCATCAGCACATTTTATTAACTTTTGCAAAAAGTGCATTTAGAATGAGGTGTATCCTTTTCTTTTTCGAAGTATTTCCATACAAATGATCGATGTGTAGAAGATCTATTGTTAGCGACTTCTTCTAAAGATGGTTCATTATTCTCTAAGTTATCAGATTCAATATAATGATCTTCATAAGAATCACCATAAAAATCATAGTGTTCGTTTGTAGAATACTGATTTATGAAATTGTCAGAATCTTCCATAATAATATAACGATAGATGGTAATTTCCCATACTTTTTAGAAAAATGAACTACTCAATTTATATACTTTGCAAAATTATCAATTCTTAGGTTTTATCTTTTAATCTAATTATTTATTTTTAGGTTTCAAATCTTGCATTATTTATTTTTAGTTTTCATCATTTAATTTAATTATTTAATGAATTTGCTACTCTGAAATATTATTATTTCTAATTTAATATGTATAATCGTATTTGTTCAAATGCATATATACATTTGGTTGGAGGGATGATTATTAATCATATAATATTATAATAAGCACGGTTTTATTCTTATTTGACATTCTTCCATACTTATATGATTACATATAAGGTTTCAACTAGCAATTATTTTATTACTTTGAAGCGTTTTGTGATTTTATGTTTTAATATATAAAAAAAAAACGTTCTTAATCCTTTGGCTTTAGCTGGGTTTTTAGTAGTAAGTGCTAGCTGTTCTTTCTTGCATTGTTGTCTTTACTCAAATTTAACAATCAATTTATATATAGCAATCACCATGAGCCTTTACTATTTAGACATAATTCACCGTCTTTCAGAATCTAACACATATGTTCTAACTCACTTCTGTTAAAAAATTCTCAAGATCGGTTGATAGTGTGTATTAGTTTCTTATAAACTGTTTATATGGTTCTATTATCCTGAGAAGAAACATCAGAATTTATTTGATTAAAATGTGGAATTAGAAGTATGATTATTAATGTTAAGAAGTTCAAAGGTAAAAATTTTTTTATGAATTTTCCTTTTATTTAAATAACACGATTACTAATCCGAAGTTTATTTGACGATCCTTATAACCAATATTTACAATTTAAACTTTATACTTTTATATAACCAAATAAATATGTTGGTACGTATTATAGTTCAGAACGATTCTTCTATAGTACTTACGTATTTAAGTATTACTTTATTTGTATATTTGCGAAACAGAATTAATTACATTTGCTTGTTCCTTCCTGAAATGTGATTCTAATCCATTCCCAATTTGGTTATCATGGGACAAATACATGTATGATTAGTCAGATTCTTGGGGTATAATAGTTGACCACTCTAAGTTAAACAATTTTTCGACCACAGTCTAATTCTTACTTGTTAGAATCGCTTTTAGTGAACTACTGAATCCTAAATGCTAATATGATATAATTACATTGATTACTATAAAATTCTATTTGTTAGAGATCAGGTGATAACTTATGCGGGTCTATGCGGGTTCATCAGGTACCCGTATCTGAGAATCGGAACTGGTCAGTTCTAAAAAACATAGAACTAGACTCAACGCGAAGGGCCAGTTCCTGGTTCGATTCCGGTTCCCGGCTTGGTTCTGCAGAACACTATCTGTGATAGACAAAAATTTGGGCCGGATTATACATAATCTTGGCCGGAATTAATTTTTTAATAAAAATAGGGAACGTTTAAAACGTTGTGGATAGGGATTTATAGGACAACTTTCATATGATTCGTTGTTTAAGTCAATTTAATTTTACATTATTTATACAGTTTACTTTTTCAAAAAAATAAACTTACAAACAAGAAGTATATTGGAGGTATTATTAGTGTTGCAGGACTCCACTGTTGAAAATGATCAAAATCCCTTTTTGTTTTAGCGAAATTAGTATTAGGCCACGCAAAGTTAATTTTTCGTTTTGCATAACATGGAAT